GGGTTCTCCCCGGGCGCGGTTGCGGTGGCGGGGTTGCGGTGCGGGGGCGATGCGGGGGCGGGGTTGCGGGGCCGGTGGCGGGCCTGCGGGGTTAGGCGGCGGGGTACCCGGGGCTGGGCGGCGGCGGAGGTCGTCCGGCGGTGGCGGGGTTGGATGAACCCCGCGGCGGGGGTCCGGGGTCCGCAGCCTAACACCGGCTTTGCCCCCGGGGTTCCCCGCTCGACAACGCTGGTTACAACAATGGGAGTTACAATAGTGGGTTACAACGGAGGGTACGGCAATAATCAGCGTTACAATCGGCAGTGGACGGGAGGCTATCGGGACAGGGAGCAAGAGAGGGACGATAAGGTTAATCGGATGTACAATTTGCTTTCAGAGCAGATGGAAGAACGGGAGCAGCGTAAGCAGGAGATTGAAAACAAGAAGAGGTTGGAGGAGGAGAAGAAGAAGGATGAGGAGGAGAAAAGAGCTCAAGCCATTAAGGATAGGGAACAACATGAAGCCAGATTAGGGAAGATTGTGAGAACCAGCGTCAAGGCGGTCTGTGAATCAGCCTTGGGAAGGAAAGTGGATATCCCCGAAGATGACGAGGACGAGGTCTCCAAGTTACGGCGTGAGCTAGGTGAACTGAGATCCAAGAACCAGGGAGAAACCAGCGAACAACGCTTGGAGGCTCTTTGTAAAGAGAAGGATGCGTTGCTTAAGATGAAAGAGCAAGAGGGAGAGGAAGAAAGGCTGCAGAGGGAGATAGTCGAGCTGAGAAGCAAGAACGAGTCAGTCAAGTTTGCTTCAGGCAAACAGGACGAGTTTTTGGCCCTGCAAATGCAGGTCAAGGAGTTGGGAGCGTTCCGTGATACTCTTGAGGAGAAGAACGCCGAAGTGTCTGCGCTCCGCTCAGAGAACAAGCACCTAAAGAAGGACGTGATCGACCTTCGGGAGGAGTTTGCTAAAGGCAAACGAGGGGCCTAGGCTGTTACGGAGAAGAACCCACCTCTGGAGCCTGCACATGGGAATGCGCCATCTAGCAGTGCGATGTACACTCCTAAGGACCTTGAAGCATTGCATAAAGCCTACAAGGCGGCTTTGGCGGACAAGGAGATGGCTCTCAGGGAAGCTGAGTTCCTCAAGGAGCGAATGGCGAGCATGGGGGCAGCTCGTGTCCGTCTCTCGACGCGAAATACTGCGATCCGAAAAACTACTCCTCGAAACCTAAAGACCTCTTTCAAAGCTATGGAGGTGGAATCAGACGACGAGATGGAAGGGAAGGGTAAAGAGCAGACGAATGAGAAGGATGGCGATATTGGGAAAGACTCTCATGACCAGGAGGTCGCCAAGATGGCGGGATTCCGAAACGCTCGGTTCAAGGAGGTCCGCCAGCTGAAGAAGGCTATGGAGGCCATTTGTACGGATGAAGGGATCACGTACATCAAACTAGAGCAGTCTAAGGCTGACGTGGCAGAAATCAGGGCCAGCCGCGACTATTCGGCCTGGCTGAAAGATAGGGAGCATCGGGAAGAGGAGGAACACAATCAACAGTATGCCACGTCCAATGAGGAAGTTGACGAGGAATGAGGACACTCCCTGAAGGTGTCTCACATATGGGAGCTGGCTCTATTTTGTCGTGATTTTCATGAAGTTTTGCCTTCGGATCAACTTTATTATGTATTTCGGTTAGTTGTAATTTTGCTAATTTCACGGAGGGCAATCCAATGGGCAGGTAAGTTTGCTGGGTTTTTATCTTTGTTGTTACATAAGGGTTACAATTTGCATTTTTGTCCGGGCCCAGTCGTTTACGCGCTTGTTTCTCCTTGGTATCATCATGTTTATATTGGGTGTACCAAGAGATCATTGAGTGTTAGGTGGAAAGAACATGTTGCTGCTGCTTTACCTCTAGCACGTGCACGAGGCAATAGGAAGTTGTATAGGTGGCTTAGGAGGGTGGATATCAATTCTTATGTCGCTATTCCTTTATGTACGGCTTCGGAGGATGATTTATTAGGCTTAGAGAAATTCTTTATTAATTCCTTTAGTCCATCTCTTAATTCTGTAGTGCATCGTAAATGTCCGCATCGAAAATGCCGACCAGGGAAAAAGGAAAGGCTGAAACGATGTCGGAAGGTTGTTTGTTGTTTACCTGGTTCGGTTGCCACCTTCTCTTCTAATAGGTATTTCCCTTATCTTTACCTCCTCCTTTGACCTCACTTCTACTAGCCTTATTTCTATTTTCCGTCGTGCTCTTGAAACTGACATTGCCACTCCCTTTTCCATCAAGGTTGTTTCTAGTTCTTGCTTTTTGAAAAAATGGAAGCTCATCCGTCGTCTTTTTGGCTCATCTACCCTTTCTACTACTAACTTACCCATCTCTCTTCTTAAAAATTGCCGCTCCTGGTTCCGCACCGATTCCGAGATTTTTGTCCATTCTATTTCGCAATTCTGTTCTCGCGCGCTTCCTCTTAAGAATACTCTAATTCGACTTCTCTCCACCCCATCTTCTCGGCAATCCCTGTCTGGCTTCAATCTCGACAGTCTTATTAGGCTTTATGATGCGGTACGGACTCTTACGTGCAAACGCTCCCGAACCTCTCTCAAGTTAATTCTATCCAATGCATGTCGGAAGAAATTCTCCCTGAGACTATCTGCACGCTTGATCGTTAGGATTAAATATGAAGACTCTTTGGTTTCTAGTAGAATTCGTGATGCTTGTAAGAAGATCATCCTTGGGTTTGATTTGCCTTCCTCCTACTTGGACATCGTTTGCCACCGCTTTAGGCTGGTTTGGACCAAGAATCGTAGTATTGGTGACTTGATTCATAACTATCATCATTTTTCTGTAATTAATAATTGTTCTTGTTCTTGCGGAGATTTGGATGCTGCTTTCCCTCGTCGGGATGGACACATATCATTTCGGTTTAGTGATGTTAATTTCCTCCCATCTTTCCTGGATAATTCTAAGGATATTACTACTCCTAACTATGCGGTTAGTACTAGTAGTTTACATAAACAGATTAGTTCCCCCTTTTCTTCATTTTTTGGTAAGAATTTTCTTTTTTCATCTTCTTCACTCTTGGACTGTCTGTCGGGGGAGACTGCGGATAAGCGATACACTTCAGAGAAGGAAGTTTTGGAATGCAAGCAGAAACTTGAGGGGTTGGTGCTATGCCCACTAGATCATAACGCATGTGATACGTATGCATGTTGCCCGATGATTTATGCGGAAGACATGAAACGATTGTTTGTTGGTAATTCGGGTCTACAAATTGTTCGCAAAACTGAGGACAAAGTTATTAATAGCTGTAAAGAACTTGATCAGTTAAGCAGGTTTTCAGGGCTGGCCCCATGGGACCCAAAGGGTAAATTAGGTAGGTCGTACGTTATCCCTAAGCATAAGGATGTTATGAAATGGAGGCCTATTTGTCCCTCCTGGTCTGAACCATCTCGCCGCGCGTCTCGTATTGTGTCATGCTGTGTTAATGAGTTCCTTAAGCGGCTTCCTAAGTCTAGTCATTTTAATTTGAGTACACATCTTTTGCCACATTTTCTTCGGAGATTCCACCGTGATGTTGACGAGGGTGAACAGTTACTCGCAGGGAGTTTTGATGTGAAAGAAATGTTCTGTCAGTCGCCACATTCGTCGATCTTAGCTGCTGTAGAATGAGCGGTTAGTATTTTTGAAGAGAAAGGGTTCTATAAGTGTTTGGTACAGGGGCGGAAGAAACAGGTACGACTTTGTAAGGTCACAGGTAGCGAAGTAGGTTTTAAATCAATTAAATTCTCCCTCCTGCTGAAATATGTGTCATATGACCTTAATAAAACTTTTACCATGGCTATGGGGTCGATGATCAAACAAAATCTAGGCATACCGATGGGCAAGTCTTCAAGCCCTGCCCTTGCATGCCTGATGTGTGTACATAATGAGTTTACCTTCCTTCGAAACTTGGGGAACGACGCCCGACTTATTAAGGGATGCAGGATGATTGATGATGTGTTAGTGTTTGTCAGATTCAAAGTCGGTAATGATCGATCGAGAGAGAAAGCGGGCCGTATTCTTTCTTTATTCAGTAGTACCTGTTATGATAAGCATTTAGTGCTGGAGAGCACGAGTCGTGGCTTTGATTGGGAGTATTTAGGGTGTAGAGTACTAGTTGGTATGCAGCCAACTGCAGTTTATTGTCAAGCAAATCACAAGAACCAAAATGGTATTCTCAATGGTGCGGGCATTATTTTTCGCAATCTTCAGAATTTCAGCTCCTTTTGTAGTAGGAAGCAAAAAACTGCAGTCATTACTTCCTTTTTCCACAAGGCAGTTGATATGGGGACTCTGTCGGGCACTGAGGCTGCATTTCTCTTTACTTTGAAAATTGCGCTTAGACGTAGGGGTTTTCCAGATGACATCTTTGATAAGGCTCTAGTCAATTTTAACGTTAAGATCGGCGGGGCTTGGGAAAATTGGGTTCGATGTTTTACGAATTGGATATGGGACTATCAGACCCCATTTTTTCGGGACCGAACTGGGTTATCATTTGGTCCGATCCGTTTTGTAGTTCGCTTTGCTGTAGAAGTATTTAGTCTCCCCTTTGCTTACCATTTGTCACCATCGATACCCCTGACGATGGCCGGTACACTGGTGGACCGGCCGAAACAGCTGTAGGGTAATCGCCAGTTGCACTTTATGTCGCGGTGCTTCTGCAATCAGACTCCGACTCAACACACTTTTCATGCATGTAAACAGCGAAACAGCAAACTGGCGACATGCGCCCACTCAGTACTCGAAGATATCGCAACCAGATAAGAGTTCTCTTGAAATTGGCTATGGCGGCTCTGCGCCCAAACAACTCGCTGTTCACACTCTGGATCACCCTGGATGTCCCACACGCAACAGTCTAAACACTCACACAGTACACACACACTGGACTCTGCACTAAGCTATGGCAGCTATGGCTGCCGCTACCTATCGCTATGGCTACATTGCATCACCCTCGCCCACTTCGTCTYCGGGCCTTCTGCAGACCTCCTYGCACAAGCTGYTGTGGCAGCGCTTCCGCATGGCTTCCGCAGGAATGAATGAATGGCTGGGTGCAGCCTCTTGATTTATACTTTTGTGATGCGTTGGTCTGCCCTACAGCCCTGGCCCATGGTGCACACAGTCCCARACGGTACTTGCTTGACTGGACCGGACTGGGTGGACTGGGACTGCTGACGGTGCAAGGTGGACTTCCACCACTTGACCACTTGCCTCTGCCTAACGTAGGCTGACTCCGAAAGGCCAGTTCTAGAAACCTCTACTTTGGCCTTTCGGTACTGAAGCAGCTACGACTTTGCCCTTTCAGGTAAGTAGCAGCTACGACCTTGACCCTTCGGACAATCTACAGCTACAACCTCTGGACTGTCTAGACTCCTACCCTATAGATCTACAGTTTGAATCCCTTCTACCCTGTAACCTACGAAGTCCTACCTACCACTGGCGGTCCTACAGGTCACAGGTTCAACTCTACGGGTTGACACAGATACTGTACACAGGTACGGTGGGGAACTAGGGATCGAACCCTCGGATCTGCATCAGCTACTGCGAACTAGTGAATTCCGTTTCACTCCCGCCGGCCTAAATTCGAGGTCCTCCGAGAACATTTCAGTCCAAGGCAGGGCCTTTACCCTTTCTATCTCTTTCGTAGGCGTGGACTATGTCGGGAGCTGTCTCTAGAAGCTCAGTTCTAGTGAACCACGGGTCATCTTCTGGCTCCTGATATGCAAATCTGACTTTGTACTGTTTCTGAGGACGACCTCTACCTCCTGTTCTGAACACATCTTCACCTACAATGCCGTCAATGTCGTATCTCCCATCCATATCAGGTGGAATCATGGATCGTCTAGAGGGGAATTGATCACTTACTGTGCACGGCAACAACTTCGACGCATGGAAGACTGGGTAGGTGTGGAGGTGTAGTGGTAGTTCAATGGTGTAGGATGGACCATCTTCACCACCCTTGACTTCTAACACTGGCCACGGTCCTCTATATGTGGGCAATAACTTCTGTGAGATGTTCTCCTCAGGTGCAAACTCTTTAGAACTGACCCAGACTAAGTCGCCTACTTGGAACTGTGAAGGGCGACGATGCTTGTTGGCTTGCTCTATCATCCGGTGTTGTGCCCTTCTGAGGTTCTCTACAACAGTAGCTAGTTCTTTTTCGTACTGTACAGCACACTCATTGGTCCCGGATGGTAATCTGTGAATCTGATCTCGGTCAAGTCCCTCAAACGGTCGRCGCGGTCTAAAGGACTTGTGCAGTTCGTTGGGAGTGCGGCAGGTGGACAAATGCACACTGTTATTGTACGCACTAGCTACCTTCGGCAACATCTCATCCCAGTTAATCTGATCTGGCCTAATCTACATGCGCAGAACTTGCTGTAGGATCTTGTTCATCTGCTCTGTTTGACCATTAGTCTCAGGATGGCGGCCGGACGACATCAACAACTTAGATCCATACACTCCCATGAGTTCTTGCCAGTTCTGGCTGGTAAAGCGACTATCTTTATCGCTAACTATGGACAGTGGGATTCCATTCTCACTCACCCAGCAGYCGAAAAACTTATGTATCACTAAATATGTACGTGCCTCTGACGGCAAGGGAACAAAAACTGCATACTTGCTAAAACGGTCAACTATGACCACGACTTGGCTCTTACCATGCCTACTCTTGACTTGGGTGTCCATAAAATCGATGGACACTGAGTCTCCCGGCTGATCTGGAATGGGTAAGGGTCTGAGAAGACCTAGCGGTGCGCGCGTCCTAGTCTTATTACGCTGGCAAACTTTGCAACTGCGGACATACTCTACGCAGTCATTCTTCATCCCTGGCCACGTATATGCGCGCATCAAATTGGCTAAAGTCTTTTGCCAACCAAAATGACCCTCTGTGTCATGGCATTCTCCCAAGATTGGACTACCGACCTCTTCACTGTTGGGGATGCATAGGAGGTCAAACACATTAGTCTTCTCAAAGAGCAACCCTTCAGTAGTGCGATAGTTCGGCTCAGTCTTTGGGGCCCCGCCTTGACCCTCTTGAGGAGGTCACTATAGACAGGGTCCTGCGCATAGGCTTCTCTAATCTTCTACTGCAGGTCCTTCCCTATATCTAAGTAATGCACTATTGCCCCAAAGTAATCAGCTCTCCTACTCAGAGCATCCGCAACTACGTTATACTTTCCCTTGACTGGCTTGAGCTCAAAGTCATACTGATCTATCTCGGCGGCCCACCTAGTAAGCTTAGGTGTCATCTTGGCCTGCGTCTTTAACCATCTCAACGTTTCATGATCGGAGTAGACTTTGAAGTGCCTCCCAAGCAAGTAGTGCTTCCAATGTTCTAACGCTTGCCTGAGAGCGTAGAGTTCCCTCTCATAGGTAGATGTCGCGACCTTCTCTGAAGGCATTCTGGCGGACATGAACTCTACGGGCCTATAACCATGGCCATCGTCTTGCTGCAACACAACACCTATGCCGTACTGACTCGCATCTGTAGTGACGACAAAGGGCAAGGACGGATCGGCGACCTTAAGGACTGGGTATTCTATCAACGCCTGTTCTAACTTCTTCATGGCAGACGTGCAGTCCTTATCCCACTTCCAGATGGTCTCCTTCCTGAGCAATCTGCGAAGGGGCGCAGCGATGGTGGAGAAGTTCCTTACGAACTTCCTATAGTAGTTTGCTAGGCCTAAGAACGACCGCAACTCTGTCAACGTACGCGGCGTTGGCCAATCTCTAATCGCTGCAATTTTGCTGTCTTCGGGCTTGATGCCGTCTCCGTCTAAGACATGGCCTAATATAAAACTTGGTCTTTGCCCACTCGCACTTCTTTGTGTTGATCTTGAAGTTAGCTTCCCTCAGCTTCTCCAAGACCTGCCTGAGATGACCCTGAAGCTCTTCGAGGGTCTTACTAAACACTAGGATGTCATCTAGGTAAACTGCAACAAACCTATCTAACCACGGCCTAAACAAGTCATTCATACATCGCTGAAAAGATGCTGGCGCGTTGGTTAGTCCAAAGGGCATCACAATAAACTCGTAGTGCCCGTATCTAGTCCGGAATGCGATCTTGTACTGATCATCAGGGTGAACCTCTATCTGATGATATCTGGACTTCAAATCTATCTTAGAGAAATACTTGCACCCCTGCACTCTATCTAGGAGATTATCTATCCTAGACAGTGGCTCAGCATTCTTCACGGTGATAGCATTCAGACCCCTATAGTCTATACACATCCTTAACTCTCCCTCCTTCTTGGGGACAAAGAGAACAGGTGCTCCAAAAGGAGATGAACTGGGCCTAATCCAACCCTTTTCAAGGAGCTCGTCCAACTGCTTGCGAAGCTCCTCTAACTCCCGCGGGGACATCCTATACACAGCGCCCTTAGGAGTTCTACTGCCAGGCTCTATCTCAATACGGTGCTGGATGGGCCGCGACACTGCCCCTGTCGGCGGCTCAGCTAAATCCTTGAATTCTTCCAGCAGCTTGGCAATAGCAGGGTCTATGGGCTTCTCTTCCTTAGGCTCGGTGACTGGCCTAACATAGGCTACAAAGACCTGTTCCTCTAGCTGCTCCCTTTTCACTAATCGTGCAAATGCAGGAGCACTAAGGCAGCAATGTGCCAAGGAGTCATCTACTCTTGACACATGGTACAGACGCGCAACTTTGACGTCGCCTGACGGACTAGGGAGCCTACACTCATGCTCGCTCAAGTGGAGTGTGGCCCCGGCTGCCTCTCCCCAGTCCATACCCAGGACTATATCGAACGGGAGGCTATCCTCTACGAGGAGAGTCAGGGAATGGAGAACTTTCTCTACTTTCCCAGCCTTCTCTAGGCGGAAATACGCCTGGACTCCCTCTACGTAGTCTTCCACTCGCATCGTGCGATTATCCGCAACGATACTGACTACAGGGTCTGCTAACTCTTGGACTTTTAATTGCAACTTCAGCTTCTGTAGCGCCTTCCTACTGATATAACTACGAGTGGCTCCACTATCCACTAAGGCGCCTACTCTACCTC